TCACCACCCTCACAGTGAAAAATTTCTTCCTAATGTCTAATCTACATCTGCCCTCTTTCAGCTTAAACCCATTACTCCTCATCCCATCACTACACGCCCTGATAGAGTGTTTCCCCATCCCTTTCTTAGGCCCCCTTCAGGTACTGGAAGGCTGCTATTAGGTCTCCCTGGAGCCTTCTCTTCTCCAGGCTGAACAACCCCAACTCTCTCAGCCTGTCCTCACAGGGGAGGTGCTCCAGCCCTCTGACCATCTTCATGGCTCTCCTCTGGACTTGCTCCAACAGGTCCAGGTCTTTTTTATGTTGGTGAACACAGTACTCCAGGTGCAGTCTCGCGAGAGCAGAGCAGAGGGGGAGAACCGCCTCCTTCGACCTGCTGCTAATGCTTCTCTTGATGCAGCCCAGGACACAGTTGGCTTTCTGGGCTGCAAGCCCACATTGCCAGAGCTTCTCATCAACCAACACCCCCAAGTATATGGTTGGTTTCATGATTGTATTACAGCTTGTGATTGCTTATTTACAAGCCCAAAAGGGACAAGAGAAGTCAGAAGTAAAGATCTGGCAGCTGAACACCATGGGAGTGCACACCACCTCAAGACTTAGACCAAGAGGAGACTTTCCAGCCTCAAATATCTAAGAACTCAGCAATAGCAGCAGTGAGAAACACTTTGCCCAGGACTATACCTCCATTATCTTCTCAGCTTTTTGGCAATGTCAGCCATTATTATCACTACTACTACCATTAATAGCACCACTAGGCATGATTATAACCACTAGAGAGGACTACACCTCAAGGCAGGACGAGCGAGAGAAGCAAGAGTTACCTCAAGGGAATTTCTCAGCAAAATGAGAAGCAAGACACTTGCTAATATGTCTTTGGTAAGCTATGTGAACCATATCAACCAGAAAATCTCAAGTGGTACCTGGAAATGGCCCCAGACATGCAATTCAGTATTCCTTCAGCAATTCAGGTAAGATGTTCCTTTCTATTGCAGCATCCGTAACTGTGATGAGGCAATACTTTGCTGCAGAAAGGTCTTTCCCTTCTTCCTTCCCAAGCAGAAAATGGTGGGGAGGGCGGGAGGCAGGCAGGGTGGCAGGATGCAATAGGGGCAGAAATATTCTCTAGAAGCAGCTATCATCCACAAAAAGCAAAAAAGGTTGTTACAACACTGAGGAGAGGGAGGCTGGAGCAATTGGTTATCAGAATCATCTTTATCTACTTGATGAAAACTACACTTGTACTGACGTTATGGATAATATCCAGCAAATGGATATAAGGCATACGCTACAAGAGTCTAGTAGTCTACACCTTTATCCTGGTTTCAGCTGAGACAGAGTTGATTTTCTTCATAGCAGCTAGTAAGAGGCTGTGTTTTGGATCTGTGCTGAGAAGGCTGGTAACATGCTGATGTTTATAGTTGCTGCCAGGACAGTCAAGGACTTTTCAGCATCTCTGCTGTGCCAGTGTCTGCAGGTGCAGGAGAAGCTGGGAGGGAGCAGTTACTAGCCCAGGATTTGACCTTAGGTTTAGGACTGCAACCCAAAGTGGCCACTGGTATACTCTATATCATGCACATCATGCCCAGTATATAGGTAACAATCTATCCAGAAGCTCGCCCTCTTGCTCCAGGTCATCTCTCTCCAGGTGGTCCCTCTCCCAGGGTCATCTCCCTCCCTCGGTCAGCTCTCAGCCTGAGACGATCAGGCTCTTATCTCCATTCTGGGAGTGCAGTTTCAGGACTCTCCTTGCTCCAGGATTGTTAGGCAGGAGTGGCCTAAGCCTTGGTCATTGGGCACTGAGCAGTTTCATTGTGTATCACTCATTTGTATATATTACTATTATAGCCATCATTGTTATTTTCAATTTTATTGTAGTTATTTTGTTCTTATCTCAACCTCCAAGTCTGTTTTCCCTATACCCCTTGAATTCTTCCCCACCCCGGGGAGGCAGGGGGGAAGGGGCTGTGTGGAGTTGGCTCACAGACAGGGCCAAAACTACAACAGTCCTATAGATGCAAATAAACAAGTTCAGCTTACAAGTATTAAGAAATTATTTTTTAAAATAAATTCTCTTTTTTTTGCAGTCTGTAGTTTGCTTTTGACTTTAGCCAATTTTCAACAATCTTAATATATGAATGGTCAACTTAATACTGCTCTTTTCATCCCCTCCTCTAAATACAGATTATTTAGGTTTACAGAGGCATCAAGACAATCCTCGGTACCTAAAAAACCCCAAAACTTTTCCCATTTCTTTGGAAAACCTAGGAAACCATTTCTGAAGTATACATGCTCAGTAACTTGAAGCACACAGGATGGATGGGGTTTCCAGAACCCCACTAGCATTCAAACGAACTTTAAATAATTAGGCCTAAAAATAATAATGTAAGCTAATAATACCAGCACACTCCTATTACCTTACCAGGTATAGGCTTTAAGGTACCTTTTTACAGGTATCAAGTTATGCAAGCTTCTTTCTGTAATAAATATTTTCATATAAAAGGAGGCAGATTCTGTACAGTGGTATCAGTATGTTAGTTAAGATCTGGATTCACTTTCTTACACAGATGCAGAAGAATTTATTTTATTATCTTATAGCCAGTTATTTTTATGTGACAAAAAAAAATCTGTAGGTGTCTTGAAGGAATCAAGACAGGTTTCTACAATTTCCAAAATAACAAACTTAAAGCATTTCAACATAACTGAAGTCAAAAGACATCTTATGTAAGCACTAAGAATCCTAAAAGTTAAACCACACTATTCTGATACTCTGCTGCTGTAAATAGCTTCTGGAAAATCTGGTTACAATTATGTCCAGTTCTCAAGGAGTCAGATAAAAATTTAAATGCCTCTCCAGAAACCAAGCAAATGAAAAAAAAAATCTTTATATGACCAGAACTATTTTCTCAAGATGAAAGACAAAGCAATGAACAAAGAAAACTTCAAAGACAAAACCCACCGACATAAATACTTTTTACAAAAATGCTCTATTTCAACACAGTAGAACAGTACAACATTTCTTGTACACTGACATGTGAGCCAGCCATACCCTGAGGGAGGTTACCCTCTTCCCTCCCCAAACCAGAGTCAGACTCAATGTGTTCTATTGCCTCCCTTAAGAATTAGATTCTGAAAGTGAATCAATACTTCTAATGTAAATTTCAAGGTTTGTGTTGGTTGTTTTTTTAAAACACAATCTTGAAGAGACAATGTATTATTAACATGACAGAAAAACTTTAATCAAACCATATGATCCACTGATCTGTCTTTTGACTACTGAAAGAAATTCACACGTTATGAGATGTAAGAGTTTCTGAAGTGGTAACATTTTCAATATTTTCTCAGTGATGTACATTTACACTCCAGAATCACCTACTGTATTTATGAAAACAGACCTATTCAGAACTAAGCACTAAAAACAAATAGGAAAAGTCAAAATTAAATCAGCAATGTGGTATTATTTTAAGCTTCATACACCTTCTCCGTAAGACTTCTCCTGTAATTTATTACAGTAACGTGCAAAATATGGAGCCTGTCTAGACCAGGAAAATTAACTGTGGCTAAAGACAGCCACAAGACGATGACCGTCCTCGTGACACAAATTGAGAATAGCTCGTCAGTTGCTTAAACAGGACAGCACTTGGAGAAAAAAGCAGCTGCCTACATTTGCATTCTACTTCAGTAACAGGCTGAAGGCTTTTAAGGTCTTTCAGTACGTAAGTGGGCTTACACTGAATGTACAACTATGTGCTCAAAATGGACACCAATACTTCTCGACATACGAAGCAGTAATGCACAGTCCAAGCACCAGGAGATGGCGCTGACAGATGTTGAAGAACTAGCTACACCTGAAGAGAAGCTGTCTTTAGCAAGTTCTTTACATCCCTCTGCATTCAGGTTCAACTCTTCCTATTTAAAACCTTGAGACAATTCTTTAAGGGCACTGGGCACTTGAATGTCTGAAAGTGTTCTGATGGGCATGTATTGCAACTTCTTTTTGCCTCCTCTGCAGGAACAAAGGGGCATCTCCCTAGTAAAGGGAGATTGTATGAGAACCCACTTCTGTCTTCCCTTCCACATTGCTCAGCCGCTGCATTCCGGAGCAGATGGCCGTACTACTCTTCTCCTTTTCTTCCTGCAGTGCTGTCTTTCAGGATACAGCAGGTGCCTACCACACCAGAAGCAGCAACTGAATGAAGAAAAGGTGCAATGCAGGTCTGCAATTCAGTGCGATTAGAAACAAATGGAACATGCACCTTGGGTGTTTATATGTCTGACGTTCCAGCTGATGCAACACTTCTGTTACAGGCCGGAAGGAGGACTATTTCTTTTCTTCAGCTCAGACAACACTTACTATGTGGGTAATTTACCATTCTAACTTTAATTATTTTCTTTTTTTTCTTTTTTTTTTTTTTTTAAAGAAACCTCTGGAAACCTTAACCTTTTTTTTTTTTTTTTTTTTACCTTTTTACACATCATTCAATCTCTCATGAAATCAAGAATGTTAGCTGGATGACAGAGGAATATTCACCGCTGAGTTATTACAACAATAATTTTACACCATTTGAAAAAAATAGCTGTACAACAACTTTCTAGATATCAAGTTTCTTACACTAAAGATGACAGACCACTATTAGTTCTGATGTGCAAATACCAAACTTCATTCACTTGTCAAAGAAAAAGAAGTTTCAAGTTAATCAGCAGCCGATTACATTCTCCTGGTTTTCTTCATTCACTTTTCTCATAGTGAAGATATCCATTAAAAAGTAAAGAATTACTCTTATTCTCAACAAAATTCTCAAGCTACCAGAAAGCCAAAACAAACAGGGAAGGGGAGGGGTGAAGACTACAGTAGTCATTAACATACACATATGTGCACTACAGAAAATAACATCTTTAGCTTCTATTTTTACCTTAACAGGAAAGTGGGAGACTTTATTAAGACAAAAAAGTTGACTAGAGTTCACCCTAAAGCCTAATCAAATCATACAGTCCAAGTATCCACCATATATTTTTATAATTTTAATGAGAAATCATGTGAATTTTTTGTAATCAATTAATACAGCAGAAAATACTTTTGGGTTTTCTTGGACACCAGAGAAGCAAGTAGTGCTATAAAACTCACTGTATAGAGTTCACCACATCAACTACCAAAGTTGTAACAGATTTATTTAACCGTCTCAGAGCAGCAGCCTGACTCTGCGAACTACTGAATGCACCAGTCTACTTCAAGATAGAGATTCCTAGAAGAAAAATAGTGGGAAATTAAATATGAAAACTACAAATTTCTTACAGAAATTAAGTTTTATTTGGGTATACGTGGAACACTTGTTATACAGAAACACCAAGCTACGGAGAATCGATATTTTGAAGTAGAGGGTGCAGAGAGAAGATTCAGTTTTTTACAAACTTATCAAAGAAATGCACTAGGGTTTGCACGGGGATCCTTCTGGTTCCTGTATCTATACGTCAGCCAGACTCCCAGAATCTGAAAATAAAAATGGAATATATTATTAAGCGGAGGGTCTCCACCTCATCTTCCATCAGTTTTACAAAATGTGTTTTCAACATAAAACCCTGACATTGATTTTCCAGTACACAAGTTTAGGATATTTTGCTATTGCTAAAAAATGCACAGCCATACACTAGCTTTCTTAACTAGAAAAAGAGTGCACCTTCTCAGAAGGAATTCACACCTTGCAACAGAGAGACTAACAGAACAAAAAAGCCAATACTGTATCTGCAAAGCAATGCAAAATATTTCTCATAGGCCTGTCTAGCATTAAATTATTCTTCCCGTCTCCTAATGATAAACATTCATAAACCTGTTTTTAGTATGATAAAAAAAATCCTACAAATTGTTTCATTTTACAGTTATCACTTAATTATAAGGCTATTTTTCTAGGACATTTTCAAATCCTGTCACTCCCTCCAACCATGTTCCCCCCTCCCCGTAGCTTCACATTTGTAGCAGAGAAACTGAGGGCAGGTAAGTTGCTGTATCTCTCTTGTTGCTGTCATATCTACAAACCCGTATCTTCATATGCTCTACTCTGGGGTTATAAAAGAGGATTTTTATTCACCAATCATTAATCAAGTGTATGTATCAGCTGGACACTAAAGCAACGAGTGGAACTACATGAAACGACTTCTGGAGAATGTTAAACCAGAATACCTAACTTTCTGCAAAACTTAAACTTTACCGTATCACATTTTAATGTGGTATCTAGTTGTGGTTTGTAGTGTAAATAACAAAGTTGCAAAAACTCCCAGTGTTGAATAAAGATAAGCCCTCTTTTTGGCAGACTTAAACAAACTGATGGCCTGGAAAAATTTGACCTAATTAATTATTTGACTCTTGATACAGTACTGTAACAAAGCTCCTAAAATTAATTGTTTCACAAACAAAGCCTTAAAAGTGGGGAAAGAGCACTCAGACTTCTAACCTCCTACTCACCTCTGTGAAACTGAAGAAGAGTCCTATGCCTCCAACAAATCTCAGCACCATTCCAGAATACTCTTCTATTATCGGTGCACATGGTTGACATTGGCGACTTCTAAAACAATCCTGTAGCAGATACAAACAAGAGAATTGCACTCCATTTGCTGATGACACTTCATTGATTGAAAGCATCTAATCAGCTCTATAACCAGCCATGGACAAAAGTCTAGCAGTTTTAAAAGACTCCAAAAAAGCAAGTACATAAATGACAACGGAGTACAACCTTCACAGGGTGCTGTGTGATTACGTTTCCAGTAAGTTAACTAAAGAGCTTAGTGTCGTTGCAACAACTACCTTACACATTTCTTTAAAAACTCTGCTTTCTGCAACTTTGAAGACAGTTGTACATATCTGAACAAACACAATGAAGTCGTAAGTTTTTTCATGCTTGAAGAACTTACAGAGGAGCAGGTTTCATTCGGATTAAAAACTCTGAATCCACAACAATTCAGATTTCTCTCAATATCTGTTCTCGCGCTGTTAGTGTTATTCCATCCCACCTCTAGAAGTTGACTCTAGAAGGCATAAGCAAATACATATTATATTAATTGAACTGTTTTGCATTTCACTGGAAATCAATATACTAGGCCAACTGGACAAGTCCCTAACTAAAACCTTCAGATCCTGAAGTTTAACAGGGTAATATATTAAAGAATGAGCTGAATGTTCAAGCAGACTGTATAGCAAATGCAATAATAGCACCTAGCAGCAGTACATTCATCTTTATAATTAAATTTCTTCCTTTCTTTTTCCTAAACCCAATAAAAGCACTAGTAATGGGACATGCAACTAATCTAACTGGGACTGGTCAGACTTTAAACAAAAAGTGTGCTTACACGTAGGAAGGTGATTATTTAGTCACTGTACCACTGCCTCCTTATGCAGTTGAGAATTAGCCTCCATACCCCATGGAAGCTGGTTTTACTTTCACACTTAAGGGTCACCTCTGTTCCTAACGCAGTCATGACCTTTCCGGTTACACTAGAACAATTCAGTGGCTTTATTATCTTTACATTACAATTATTGTAGATTTCATCAGCTTATATGGAATTGCTCAACACATGAGATAGGCAAGATATCATGCTGCTACACTTGTGACCATAAACCAACACGGGAAACTTAAAAAATTAAAAACAAAAAAAAGAGACAGCTGAAAGTAATTTTAAAACCCAAATGTATTTCTTTCTAGCTACCACAGCCAAGCACTGCCTAAGGTCTATTTATTTAAAAGGATAATGCTGATTTTCTTAAAAGATGCTCTCCCCAATTTGTGGAAGACTAATATATATATATATGTATATACATAAATATATATGTGTGTGTGTATGTCCATATGTATTTATAGTATTATCCTACAAAGGAACTGAGAAGTCAGGAAACCTTTCTTACCTTCTGTTCCTTGTTTAGTGCCAAACAGGCACAGGAGACAGAAAACTGGACAATAAAGACCAGCAAAAGAATAATCATGTACTGGAAAATAGTGGTTAAGGATACAGTCTCAAATTAATTTTGTTTTTATAACATATATGCCTGATGGTATTCCTTATTTCATTGGATAACAATAGGTCGTTCAAAACAAAATATCTATACAAGTAAATTCTGACTGGATGCAGAAAAGATGACCCAAATAATGTTCCCAGAACTCTATCACCATATATTATCTCTTTTTGGCTACTACTATACATAGCTGGTATTTCTGGGTTAGGTGTTTCTTGCCTAGCAAGACAACATGAGCAAAGAGGTTAACAAAAGGAGCTTTGAGAGAGAGAAATCTACAGACAAATTCTCCAGCTTTAGGGACTCATGTTGTAATTTCAACATACTTCTCCTAAACACGCCAGTAAAGAAAATACTCTTCTGGGTATTGCATATTCATAATTTTTTTTTCTTCTATGACATAGTCTGGTAATTAATTACAAAAGGTAACTTTAGCCTAGATTAAAAAAAAGTGAGAGTGGCTTTTGGAACACAGCCTCGCACACTGTTGGACTAATGCATCTGAAAACACTAAAGAACAAAAAGAACAAACTTTGATACCAATGATCACATTTTGGAAGTCAGGCACTGGCTTCACAATCTGGCCACTGAGATAAGGCAGATACTTATCTCGCAGAATTAAACTGTTTGTAAAGTGGAGGTGACTACTTATTCATAGACCACAATGAGAAAAAAAAGAATTTTATCTGATGAATCTCTTTTTTCATCCAAACAGATCAATTTTGTTATGCAAGGCAGAACTACAGACTGCTTACACAGCGTCAGTAAGCATAAAGGGGCAGCAAAGCACTCTGGGAATGTGTGTGCTCATTTCTAGTTTGGGTTCACAGTTAGAGACTAGGTAAGAAAATAAAGTGCTTCTTGACAGCCTGTATTTACCCACAATGCATTCCCCTGCCAGCTACAACCAGCTGGCAATCTGGAAGTATCAGCTTTCTCTACTGTTAAACATGAATAGTTCACACACTCTAGCTTGGTGAAGGGTTGAGCATGCAGTAAGAGGCACCTGTGACACACTGACTCACCATAAAAAGCTCACAAAAAAATTAAAATATTTTGACTTTTAAAAAGAGGAGACGTGACTACTTCTGTCTTCAGAGCAAAAACGAGCGAGAAAAAAAGAAAGCTGGAATAAAGTGAAATGGGAAGGAAGTTTAATTTAGACTGTACTTGACCAAAATAAGATAGTGATTTTCTGTTCTGTTTCTGAAGCACTTTCCACAACAGTCTCAGCTGACAGAGTAGGTTGTTTACATGGCTTGAACCAAGCTGTGGTCCACGTAATCCATCAGAAGGATACAAAGAATAGCAATACTTGATGATGTTTCACAGCACCAATCAATCCGACCAAGGCAATAAGGAAAAGGAAGATTCCTACTGCAATTACCACTCCAACGACTCTGAAACTAGAGATAAGGCCAAAGCCGATCCCCCATGCCGCAATTCCAATCAGCAGCAGGCTTACCAGCTAGAGGGAAGAGAAAACAGAAAGTTAGTCTGCATATTAAAAGAAGCTCAACCTACATACTGCCACATTCTTTAAATTGAAGTTGTTATTAGAAAGGTACAACTTTTCTTTACAGTGCAAAGAGAAAAAGCACAACCCTAAACAAACCAATCCTCCACTTCATTGTAGAGGTAACTTCAGTTCCAGATGTTTTAAGGCACACATATTCTTCAATACTGTTGACATGGAGCTGTTACAACTTCATCTACCTACACGTCAAGCCATGTTGCATTATCTAATAGACAATAACTAACTAGAGACACTAAACTGAAGTGTAGATTATAACAGAATTGACAAATAAGCTAAAAATCATCGTCTTTCATTCACAGAATGGAAGAATGAACAGAGATAGTGTATTTAGAGAAAATAGGATACACAGTTCCACAGCTCTGAATGTGTAAGACAGTACACTTTGCCAAAACTTACCATCATCAGGTATACAGCTGTATTAATTAATTAGAGAAGTTTCTATATAGTTGATGATATGACACAACAGTTAACAAGGTCATGCAAAAATAATTTTAGATCTGTATATCAAGGACTTCATGTAGTAAAACAACAAAGGTGCTCCATCTCCGCTATATATTTCTTCAAGAAAATAGCTCTACTATAAAGTCAATCCTATTTCCATAACCAAAACACTCTTACGCTGTTTCCTTCTTTTCAAAGATGGTATTCAGGGAAGGCAGGCAGAATCTGTCCCAGTTAGTTTACTGGGATTTATTGTTTATATACAGCCTTTCCTGTTTCCATGCCAAAAACACAGAACAAAAAAAACCACTCCAATGTGAAAAGCTGCAGAGAAATCTGTAATGAGGTACAACAGGAGGGAAGCAGCAGACAAAGCCAACCCAGATGTCCAATACACAAGATGCCCAACGCTCTCCTGTTTGAAACAGTTAGAGCTATGTGTAACATATTGCCCATTACATTCTCTGTTAAATAACACCAATTCAACATGCAAGCTCGATCTTTACAAAACCCTGACCTCACCAAAAAATACCCAGAAAAAATACCCAGAAGTATCATCACTTAAAAAAAACCAAAACAACAAAACAAAACAGTAAGCACTTACTCTAGTCCAACTACATGGCTTTATTTGAAAAAAAAAATATAGACCAAGCACTTATACTTGCTTGCCAGTTTCCATTCAAACAAGACATATCTCATGATGTTTTATTGATAATGTGGTGGGGATGGAGGACAGGGAGAGGAGGGGGGGAAGAGGAAAGAGGAAATTTCCAACTTCTCATTCCAGTATGTTTACCCTACAGCAGGGCATTTTTGTTGGTTTTAATACCAAACATGACTGTATATTTTTTCAACTTAAGTACCTCTTAAAAGACTGACCTACGTAATGCTGCTTTTGAAACATGGAAATCTAAGACAACATCAAGAAAGCTAGTAAAACAAGTAGTGATGCTCATCAAAATCAAAACAGAGTGGGTGTTTTTTTCATGTTCACACAGGAACACATCTCAAAAAAATTTTTTTACCAAAAGCCAGTAATCCACATTAGAAATTTATGAGAGTCTGCAAGAAGAAAAGGAGGATATTTGTCATACCTACACCTCTCTCTTACCACATGAAGAGACAAAAGAACGACATAAAATCCAAAGGATTTGTTCAATGCCAGTAGAGTTTTACGATTTATTCACATTTCTCTTCATTTCTCTTAAACAAAAAGCCTTAATCACCATGTTTATTCAAAACCCAGGGCCAAGATGTTGTGAACCTAAATTTCAGGGGGGAGGGGGAAGAAAAAATAAAACAAAACAAAAAGCCTTGGCTCTGCCACAGAAAGATTTTCTGACTGCATGCTGCACAAGGCTATATAAACTTTGAGATGTTACTACGTTAAAAATTAGCCTTGCTAATTAGACAGTTAAGTGCAAGACCTAGCTGTTCTGATCTATGCCCATTCACTTTATTACATTGTCTCATACTACTGGGAAGATTTATTTTTCCAGGTAAGCATCAGAAGTGAACAACAAAAGAAATCCTACAACCCAATTTCCAATCAGAAACTGCTGCCTGACATTCTGTGCTCTGCATCAACTTCTAAACACTGAACTCACACTGCCACTGCACAGCTCTTCAAAGTGGTACCCCATAAAAATCTCAAAGGCAAAGTCAAATTTTAATTTATTTCACGAAGAAAAGCAGAATAAACTTCTCTCATAATGATTTTCACCAATACTTCTTTCGTCTGCCTGAGCTATGACTGCAAATCTTTTATTTTCACCAGTCTGCCTCCAGGATACCAAAGTATGTATTTGTTCAGCTCTTTGCTCATTTCATAAGAGGTCTAAAACAATTAGATAATTTTATTTTTAAAGCAAAAACAAAATCTGTGCCTAAAACACCTACGGGATAAACGCAGTGTGTGAGCTGCAGGGTACCAGTTACTCATCTCAGTTTCCATTATTCTGACAATACATACAGGCAATTAGTGTGTATGACACTAAAAGTTACAGCCATGACCCCCTGGCCCAAAAATATTTTCTGGTAGAAACAGACACATACTGAATCTAGAACTGTTACGGTTTTCAAGTGGAAAAAAACCCCTCTTCTGGCTTTTAAACCCATTGTTGAACCCCAGATGTTCAGCAATCATGTGACCAGCTTTGAAAAATAACATAAAATAGTTTAGTTTCTCTTTTGATCACATTCTAGTTTTAGAGCCATCAGTCCCATTTTCAAGCTTTATCTCCATGATACCCAAGCTACATTTTCTCTTCTTTCACATGTCAAATAAACATCTGGAAACTCACTATGATCACAGATATCCAGTCAGGGAGATACATGATTTGGATCACAATAACTATCGGTTACTCCAACTGTCCACTTAAAATCATGGAAAACTGACTTTGTATTTCAAAACTGAAATGGAGACTGCAAGTTTACAAACTATTGCAGAAACAGATTTAGTGCTAAGCTTCTGACTCCTTTTTGCATGTTGACTGAAAGATGAAATTATACTTATTCCTTCATTTTTAAGTTTGGATTGGACTAGCTGAATGTTGAGCAATGAAACTATATACATAGTCTATATGGTTTTTTTTATACATATGTAGTTTTATAGTGCCATAATTTTAAAAACTAAAGCAAATGCACACTACTATAAACAGGAAAAATAACTTAAGCTGTTTTGGGAAGAGGTTTTACAAGAGTGTAGAACAACGGAAGGCTCATAGTGTTGGCACTGTTTAGCTGCTAGAAATGACTACTCAACAGTGCTTATTCCAGAGCTTTCAAACAAAAGGATTTAGATGCAATATTTCTAAAAGTGAAGCTGCTAAGACTTTGTAGTAAAATGCACTTGAAACAAAATCAATTAGTGTGCATTCTAAATATAAAAGCTTTAGTTACTTATTTAAAAAGTCACCTATTTCTGTTAAATAAAGGAAAAAGGACTCTCTACAGAGCTTCTCAATGTCACATTTTATTTTACTGAAACCACATTTCACAGCACCAGAACTCCCCCAAAGAAAACAGCATCATCCCTGGAAGACTGAAATACATGTGCAACTCCATTTTACCTATATGAGTTTACTTACACAAAGCTAGCCTTGGTTACTAACACTTCAAATATTTGCTTGATAAATCTGCAACATATGAAATCACAGTCCAGTTTCTAGTGAATAGGACTGATCTGGCTTCCCACAGCAGTCTCATTAGTAAGCGGAAAGGCATGGGTTATAGAAATATTCTGTTAGACTGAATAACAGGCTGGACTGCTGAGCTTAAACGGTAGTAATCGGTGGGTCAGCATCCAGCTGGTAGTGGGTAAGGAGCACCACAAAGGCTCATACTGGGGCCAGTATTATACAGTATCTTCATCAACAAGCTGGGTGATAAGACAGAATGAATCCTCAGAAAATTTGTGTATGATACTAAACAAGGAAGAGCGATTGACTCTCCAAATAGAGATTCAACTCAGATGGATCTTGATAAACTTGGCAAATAAGCCAACAGGAACTTCATGAAGCACAAAATTCTGCTCCTGGGGGGCTTCAGTTGATTCCGGCAACAGATTGGTTGAACAACAGCCTTACTGACATAGATCTTGAGATCAAACTGGTTGCCAAGTTGAATATGAGCCAAGAATCCGCTCTCATTACAAAACAGGTAAAACCAAAAGCGATGCAATCAAAGGAAACTCAATGCTGGTGAGGCTGTAGCTCAAATACTGTGTCCTATTTCAAGCACTCCAAGTTGAAAAGGAATTTGAGAACATGGAAAGAGTCACCAAAATGGTCTGGAGCCCTGAGGATGATGTTTGAGAAGCAGGTGATGGAGCTGGGTTTGTTTAGTCTGACAAAGAGGCAGCCTAGGGATAATCTAATAGCAACTGAAGCTGAAGGCACATTACAAAAATAATGGGGGCAAATTCTCCTCTGTATCACAAGTAACAGCTTGGAAGTTTCAGAGTGAACATTAGAAAAAACATCTGCAAGGTGGCTTGGTGCTGTACTCAGAGAGGTGATAAACTTTGTTCTAGGAGGTTTTCCAGGCTCAGTAGACAAAGCCACAGCCGGCAAACAAGTGATATTCGTAATCCTGCTCCAAGCAGGAGCCTGGACAGACAAGCCCCAGGAAGTACCTTCCAACCACCACCCCACACACCACAGACAGCATTTCTACCGTGGAAACTTTGCCACTCTCCACACCAAAAATCAAAGTTTTAACAGGCAGACAAGAAACAGATTTAGCACCGATCAAGGAGTCTTCCGTACTGTCTACCTAATTAAATGGCTCCTAAATCTCCCATCAACAAAACACCTTCTTACAAGCAGCAAGATCTCCCAATAAAAAAAAAGGCAATACATGATTCTTCAGAAGTGCTTACACAGCTTCAAAAACACAAGGACAAGACTTGTTCTCAGAAGTGATTTAAAAGGTCCCATTCACTTAAGACATTTACTAGAAAGCCAACCAGCATTAAGAGCAAAAGAATTTATTACAATCTTAAACTGGAGCAATTTGTCTCACAAAAAGATCCTACAAGTACATACTGTCCACAGAACAGAGAAGCAACACAGAGCCATGGGAAGTGTGTGCGTGTGTGTGCACAACAGCTAGTATTTTAAATTTAATAACCTCATTTACTATATATTATCTTCTCCATCAGTACAAACCCTAGCAACCTTATTTAAAAAGCACACACGCAAACACAGGCTTAGCGTAATCCAATATATAAACTCATCAATTTGAAATTAAGTAAATGGTTTACCAGAACAAACCTGTAAGTAGGACAAATCCTAAGTGAAGATCAGGAGTTTTCACTATGAGATTGAGTACTTTTTCTATGGAGTAAAAAAAAAATATTAGGAAAATCAAGCATATTGCCAACAGACAAAATGTTACTCCAATGTCAGCACCTCTATATGAAAGATTTTAGGGACTGTAAGTTCAAGATCAGTGCAATGGATCAGACTCCACTTTAAGTGACTTCCATTATATTTTTTTTATACATATATATACAAATAAACACATTTAAACTTCAGAAATGTTTCAAAACCAACAATTTCTAGATAAAGAAGAATTTGTCACAGAGGTGAAGTAATCACAAGTTTCATTGTCCTGTTCTCCAGATAACTTCTTATTAATATGATTAAAGCATTAGCCTTTAAAGTACTTCTCGAGGTTCTCTTTCCCCTTACTGCTGCATAAATTACTACTTCTCCTACAAAACAAAAACTATCTCCTAAATTGCTCTAATCTTTAAATCCAAGTTCTCCTGTGCACATAGCTGCTCATTTCCCTCAGTCACGTACTGGAAAAATGTGTATCTCTTCACACTTACCCCTTGTGTACTTATCCACAAGCTTATAGTCTACATTACAAAAAGAAACCAAGATACTGACAAATTATTTCTCTAGACAACACCACTGAGAAACAGTTCCAATGTCAAAACCAGTTCCTCATTCCTTCAACAGCAAGCCACAAGCAAATCTGCTGTTTTGACTAACTAGAAAATTTTCAGCATTTCAACTAGCTTGAACTGCTCTCCAGGAAGGAAGTCATACGCAGAAGTTAGCGTTCTCACTGTTTTCTTGTAGTCTCAGACCAAAAAGGAGTTAGTAAAAACTGCATTTCAGAACTTAATTTTCACAACTTAAATTTCAACAAATATAGCCTAACAATTCCCCAGGTAAAAACATTATATAGCATTTATACTGGTATCAGCAAAGGAAATATTTACATAACAGCTGTCAGGCTGGACATGGAACAGGAACTAAAACCAGAAAGATTACGCACATGATGAAAGACATCCTCCCTAACCTCTCTCTCCACCTGGAAGTTCCACTTCTTTTAAGGGGGCTTTAAAGTTTAAACTTCAAATGGTATATATTTTGAAGGCAGTGGTTTCCACCACCCTCCCCTTCAACTTGGCTAACCATTTCTACACAGCGACAGAGAACCTAAAAGACAATTCTTCTCATCCTCTGCACTTCACCTAAAAACATTATCACAGGCAGTACCTAGGGGTGCATCTTTAGCAAGCTAAGACTAAGCTAAATTGATTGCCATCACAGCTGTAAGCTAGCCAAACTGTAAGCAACTTTATCCCCTAACAGTACCTCTTTAGCTTTGCTGAGAGCACAGTAAAGGCTGAGCAGTAAGGAAAGCTCTGGGTACCTCCAAAGGATTTCTAACAGTAAGCAAAATCTTCCACCTTGAGGTGACTTATTTAAATGAGGAGTGATCAGTTGTCTGGTTACTGAACAGCCTTGAGACACATGGTGTGGAACAATCGATTTTTATGAAGTGCAGCATTCCTGTCTCTTATCACGAAACCCAGCTCTTTGGCCTAGTTCAGAGTTCTTCACGTTATTAGCCAATAATTAGGATCAAATTGGTATTTACCATGTAACAAGCTGCTTTCATGTTAAAATGGCAGTGAGATTTAATCCCTGCTTTATACTCCATGGTCTTTGGAAATGCAAGCTTTCTCCTGTGTAGCAAATCAACTATCTTCTGAAATATTTACTTTCACTTGCTTGTTTGTTCATTGTTTTTTAAGATATGAAATGTTTTCAGGAAGTTCAGTGATCCCACAGATCCTTCTTCCACGCATACACCTTCCTCAACACAGAAACAACAATAGAAAGAACACAACTAATAATTTAAGCTACAAGGCTACTACTGGGCATTCAAAGGGCTTCTCAATAATTGTGCTCATTTTAAAGTGTCCACCTGTGCTGCGAAGATGGCTGAAAACCCCAGTGGTATCAAAACATACCATGCTCCATGTAGCCACCTCTTCCTGCGCTCTGTCATTCTCCAGTTCTTTCACTAAACACAGGCTTGCCTTCCTAGCTCCAAATGCCACTAGGCACTCTCCACAAGACAAGTGAAAAAACAAACCCCACTCATGTCTGGTCTACAGACCCAGCACATCTCAATTCTGACCTGCTACCACAAGCCGCTGTCACTTTGGCTATAAATTCACGCACAATATAGCTGAGGGCATTCCTAAGCACTGACAAAAAGTATTAAAATACATATCTATACTTTTGCTGTAGTCACTCTTCTGTGTTAAGTGTGAGCATAGAAACCTTCCCAAAAAACAATGAAAACAAAAAACCCCACAAGACTAAACTGACATGACCAACCTTAACCTTCCCTGTCACATACCTGGGAGCTTCTGTACCACTGTTTTATTTACACATCAGGACTAGACAGCACAGCTTGTACTGCCACCTTCAAAATGTCCTTGAGAGTGATGGAAATGGCTCCAAGGCAACCTGCCCCGTCCACTGAGCATCCAGTTACGACGATGAGCTAGACCAGCCCAGCACAGGTTGGTGCTGGGGCAAACTCTTGACACTGTAATCCTAAATGCTGACCATAGACTGCCAGACACAGCAAACAGCAAGCTATTTACTGGTCCCTTCCTACAGCTGAAAACAAACTTATACAAACCAAAATGGAATTCAACTCAAGAGAACACAGGTTCATCTACCACTGTGAAAGAAACTGGCACATGAGGCAAGAACTGTGTTTCTCTAATTCCTGTCTGCTAGTACTTGGTTCTGCGTAGCCACTACAGCAGTCAGGCATTATCAGAAAACATGGAAAGCAGCCACATTCCCCTTCCGCAGGAGAATCCAGATGCTCATCCTGCCTCAAATACCAGATCTCCCCTATGCAGAGGAACTAGCAGGTCTGCACAGAAGATGGAACGTGCTCATCCCTCTGTGTCAGGAATGCTGCAACTAAGACAAACACTATTAAAAACCCCACCATGCCAAATGCGTGCTGTCCAAATCTGAGAATTTCTGTACTCATATTTGTATATTTCCATAATACAGGAAAAGCGATTTTGATAAAGAGGGCAGAAGTGCACTAATTACACTTTCAATAAATACTGCACCCAGAGAACAACAGGCAGCAATACAAAAAAACCCCTTTCAAATACAATGCTTTGGAAAGTGATGCAAAAACCACAACAGTCTAGAAAACAAGTTCAGAGAGCAAAGTATTAGAAAAAGTAAATAATTTTTATAAAAATACTTTCTTGTGTACATTCATTGTGGAATAAACTCTGCGACTAAAAAATACACACTTCTAATGGTAAAGGTACTGTATGTTTTACTTTAAATCAAATGGCAACTCTAGGTGTAAGAAAAACTGAAAGCCTGCTTATCAAAACAAAGGCAAGATGTTTGCACACTGAAAACAAACAGTTCATGTTGGCTGCTGCAGCAATAATTAAGCAGCTGCTCGGGTTACAGGAGCAGCACACATCATCCAAATGAACTGACTGTCAGTATTTTTTTTTTTTTCAATTTAAATATTTAATCTTGTGGCCCAGCTACCACTTCAGCCTTTCATCACTAGCTGGGACTAAGGAATTTCCCTTTCCTTTCTGAGAATCTGATTTGAAAGAAGATATCAACTCTTCCCACTTCAACACAATTACTCAAGACTTCCTTGGAAGCAACATTGTCTACCTAAGGAAGTCCCTGTCTGGTTAAAGTGAGCATATATTGGTGGAGCCAGCACCTAAGTTTCTCACACCTGAAAGATTAGAAGCCTTGAGTTACGTACACATCCTTGAATTTGGCTGAGCTCTGTGAACAGGCATTTTAAACAGTTTGTATGGGTTTACTATTTGATGTAATGTAAATATGATTGGATAAAGACAAAATTGGTCAGATACCCAAAATACCCTGTATTTAAAGGCCCCTGAATGCAGACAGTTCTTCCATGCAAGCCTTTATTCCAGCAATATACATCATCATATACACACTGAGTCAACAAATAGCCTCAATTATTTTTCTCTACTCTTCCAATACCCATAAGGAACCATACTGAAGTCAGCATGACTCAGCATAGATGCCAGAATTACTCATATAAATTAAATTTAAAAATAGAATCAGGGCCTAAGAACATTAACTTAGTCCAGAGAAGAATCAAAAGGCATCAGCAAAGCACCATCCAAAAAGAATGTTAAGCAAGCAACTAGGTTCATTGGTTTCTGGTTTCTTGCCTTAAACCAATAACTGATTTATTACAGCCAGGACATATATTTTTCTAGGTGTACTACTGTAAAAGTAAAACAAGACAGCATTAAAAAAAAACCCACCTCAAGCTCCAATATCTTATTCTAGGAGTGGTTTAAAGAAAAGCAGATCATAAACTGTAACCCCCAATATACAGTTTTGAGGGTTAATGCCTTCCAAGCATGTGATAGACACATCAGTGCTAGCTAGAAAAACATTCAAGCAGCATTACCTATTTGACCTTATATCCCTTCTTACCACCACTACTCCCTTCCCACCAATTATTACTGTGAATTAATATTCCTCAAAAAGATGATGGTGAAGTTCTTGCTCTGGTTGTCTTCTGTATTTTTTCAGGCTGGGAAAAAATAAGCCCATCATTCATTGTGCTGTTGCAACTGAAGTCTTATGTCTAACCAAGAAACAGAGAACCCCACACATTTTGCTAGATCAGCTCCACCAGGCCAACTAAACACCTTAAATGTTATTTCTGGAACTCAGAATTTAAAAGCCTTGTAACTCACCCATAATTAGTA